CCAGAATCTCTCAGGGGTCACTTGCAATGGGATGTTCTGTGACCTATGTCACCAACTGAGAAGAGACAAAGTTGTGGGAGAAGCAGGTCTTCTCTGCCTCTCTCAGGGAGCTGTGAGCAGGGAGGGGGGCGCCTGGGTGACCTGCAGCATCCAGATCTGTGGTTACATCCTATCAGGAGTCTGCCCGCCCGCCGTTGCCCAGCGATGACTAAGCGAAAGAAGGTAGCACATGCCTCACCTCACAAAAGTCATGCTCATGGTGTGTCTGAAAGCTGGAAAATGAGCAAATGTTTGTTCTTCATGAGGCTGCATCATCTTCCTCACAGCTGTTCCCCGTTGCCATAAATAGTCCTAATGGGGCTCTAATAACCAGATACTTTCTGGTCACCCTACTGGGCTCATCATTCATCATGATGACAAACTGCCTGGATCAGACTGGGGCAAACATGCTTCCCTTTCTTCTCTCCATCACAAAGTCACCTCTTCCTGTCGTCCCTCCAGTTCCCCAGGCCCGCACCTCATCTGACCATGATGATGGCGGGGTGACAGACAGCCCCATCCTCCAACCAACATTTCTAAGCATCTGCTGCATGCTAAGGTTTTTGTTTTGTAACTGGGGAAGGTGGGAGAATTTGGGCTGGGAGAAGTAGGCTATGAGGAGAGAAGACTCTGCAGTCCAAGATCATGTGCAGAGGCCTGTTAGCTCTAAGGTGGCTGTGTCCCATAGATTTGAGGGCTCATCACATGCCTCCAGGGCGTCAGATATGCTGGGCAGCAGGTAGAGTAGGCGAGGTAATGGTTCTGGGAGCACAAGTGAGGCGTGATCTGGGGTCTCCGCAGGTCTCCTTCCACCAATGTCTCTCAACCATTATAGTCACCTGGGCAGCTTAGAAAATACAGGTCTCTAGATCCCAACCCTAGGGATTCTGACTTCATTGGTCTAAAGGATAGACTGGGCATTGGTGTTTTTAAAACTTCCCTAGGTAATTCTAGTATGTGGTCAAGACCGAAAATCTCTAGGACTCAGATTTGTATGGCAGATGCAGTTAATTTGCCTTAGGCTTCCTTGATTCTTAGGAGCCCAGGGCCCCTGGTTAATCACGGTTGCTAGGACCTGAGACATAACTATGGAGGTGGCAGCCCTGAGAGTGAGGTCCAGTGGGACTCTTGGTAGGAGGGACAGCCAGCTGGCCTGCACAGTTAGTTCTTAATGGGCGTAAGTGCTCTTTCGGTCACTTTGACAAACTGCCTAGCCCTCACTGCATAAAAATGGAAATGGAGGCCCAAAGAAGGGGGGTGACCTGCCCAAAGTCACCCAGATACTTAATGAAAAAGACAGGACTTGACTCCAGGTATATTTGACTCTCAATTCAGGACAGTTCATACATTGCTACAAGTCATTGAACTTAAAATATATATTGAGAGGCTCAAGTTTCCGAGCCAAGAGAATGAGCTGATTTTATGGCTCTGCATGAGAGAATGTGTGTGGGCTTGGCTGGGCTCTTGGCCAGTCTCCTAGTTTGAGCAATTCCATCTTTTCCTTGAATTACCGTCCCAGACACCTACCTGCCTCTGGTCTCCCTGCTCTGATCTATGTGAGCTAGTCACACCTAAAACGCTAATTCAATTTAAAACACGCTGCTCCCTTCAATGGCTCCCCATGGCTCCTGGAATAAAATTTCAACTCTTTAACCTGACAAATATCCTCTTGCCTCCTGCCCCATGCCCACTCCTACTGACAATTTCAGACCCACCTCTCTCCATGCTTTATGTGCCAAACATAGTTTATGCACCAAACTTCTTCTGCCTCTCCTAACTCAACCTGCTATGCACACCGTGTGTGTGCGACCCGCTATGCTCTACCTCCATGGCATAGCTTGTTCTAGTCCTTCTGCCCAGAATACCCTTCCTTCATTTCATTTGTCTTTTCTTGTTTCTCGAGCTTCGATTTAGTATTTATGTCTTTCAGAAAGCCATTGGCCATCCATTCTCAGGCTAGGCTTAATGCACCCCACCCTAACTCTAACCCTACCCTTCATCTTACAATACTGAGTATACCCTGATTGTGACATTTTTGCCAGGATATTGAAGTGATCAGTTTATATGCCTGTCTCTAGGAATAGGCTTTAAGTACTCTAAATCTCACCTCCACAGTTCCTAGAGCCTAGTACAATGCCTGGCCTATGGAGAGTACTCAAACATCTTAAAGTTAAAATTCCATGGGGCTCAGTCATGGAGCAGAGACAGACCCTGTAGTTCCCTGTCCAAATTCCTGACCCACAGATTTAATGAGCAAAATAATTTGGCTGTTGCTAAGATTTGGGGATAGTTTATAACACAGCAAACAGTATGTATCATTGTTTAACATACTACATTATTTACTAACATAGTACATTAAGTTATGTAAAATAACTTATTCTTAAGTCTATTATTTATTTCTTGTTTCTCCTGCTAGACCACAAGCTTCCTGAGGGCATGGATCTTTGCTCATTTTGTTCACTGTTGAATCTCAAATATCTAGAACAATCCTTAGGAATAGCAAATTCTTATTAAATATTTATTGAACAAATATGGAAGTGATGATATGACTGAGTTGAATTTTAGGAGGCTCAGCTTGCTATAGCTGAGAGGTCCCTTCTATGTCAACTTATCAAACCCACTCATTTGTAGGAAAAAAAATGAGCAGGAGTGACAGGCCACAAACAGAAACAGGACCTGTTGTTTAAGAGTAGGACTGGATGCTGGGGATTCTAACGTCTACCACAGGACGCAGTCTTCGAGCAGATCTGTTACTCTTAGGTGCAGCATATAGCTTTCAGACATCACAGGAGCCAGCTATAGTCTAGGAAAGGGAGCTAGTGTACTGTGTAAAGAAAAATCAACCTCAATCCTACTACACATGGATGGAGCTAGAGGGTATTATGCTCAGTGAAATAAGCCACGCGGAGAAAGACAAATACCAAACGATTTCACTCATATGTGGAGTATAAGAACAAAGAAAAACTGAAGGAGCAAAACAGCAGCAGAATCACAGAACCCAAGAATGGACTAACAGTTACCAAAGGGAAAGGGACTGGGGAGGATGGGTGGGAAGGGAGGGATAAGGGGAAAAAGGGGCATTACAGTTCGTACACATAATGTAGGGGGAAGGGCATGGGAAAGGCAGTATAGCACAGAGAAGACAAGTAGTGACTCTATAGCATCTTACTATGCTGATGGATAGTTACTGTAATGGGGTATGTGGTGGGGAATTGATAATGGGAGTAGTTTAGTAAGTACAATGTTGCTCATGTAATTGTATATTATGATACCAAAATTTTAAAAAATTAAAAAAAATAAGACATTGAATATGCCTTTCCAAACAATAGCCGTCTCCTGGCATTTGCTCACTGTCAGATCTAGTAGGGTACATAAGCAAGCACATGCACCCCACACTCCACGTTAAGGGGTAGAGACCATTTAACTATTCCCCTAGGAAATAAAGCCCAGGGGTGGGAGATAATGGGACATCTCCTTTAACTCTTATCCCAATATCCTTCCAAAATTTTTAGATACAGCATATGAAAAGTGCTATTTTTCTCAGACCGTATTTTAAATGAACTGTTAGTTCTCCTGACCTGGTCATTACTCACATTCATTGACATTAAACGTTTTTTTCTCGTGAACATGTCAAACATGCTCCTTGCCACCATGTTTTACACTCTCATAAAATTTTAGGACCTGAAGGCCCTTAGAAATCCCCTTATCCAAATGCTTCATTCAACTAGTAAAGAATTTTAAAACTCAGGTAGCAAATGATCTCAGTTTGTTGTCCTGGAATCTGGCTGCTTAGACTCCAGTTTAGCACAGTTTCATGACCTCACAGCTTCTGAAACGCTGCTTTGTAAGCTCTTTCTCAGAATACAGTCTGAGAGATAAACTTAGTCTTCATTATCAAGAATTCCAAATGTGTCGTCTGAGTCAATGTGTTTTCATTGCATACAGTGGAACTGAACCTGGCATATTTGGGGCACAAGCTGCATGGGAACAAGATCCACAAAAAAGTAGTAGATATAACTCAGAGCCTGGCACACAGTAGATGCTTAAAAGATATTCTGGGAAGGAAGGAGGAGAGGGAGAGAAGGACAGGAAAAGTGAAGAAAGAAATGCATGTTTTCAAAGCTGCTGCAGCTGAATTCTGACCTGGAGGACTGAAAAATGCCTCTTGGGGAAGGAGGCAGTCTTTAGTTCAGGAAAACGTCTTAATGACTTCTTCCTTCTATTTTATGTTACTCTTTGGAAGAGGCGAGGCCTAATGGGCAAGGTTTGAAAAAAAGGAGCAAGATGAAGAAAGCTCAATTGTTCTGCACAATAAAGTAAGGGGAGTATGGAGGTTCTTTTCGTTGCTGCTGGGAAAAAGAAAAAAAAGGGGAAGTTGGAGGACACTAAAAACAACTTTTGGGAGGGGGACTGGATAGAGAGCTGTCAGGAGACCAGACCTTTAGGGGGCCTTGTATCCAGGCTTCCTGTACTTCGCTGCATTCCCTCTGTTATTCCCCAAACCTCAGTAACAACCACTGCTCACAAATTGCATTAGAGATGCTTTGGGGAGGAAGGACAGACATGACCAGTGCAGGCCTACAGAGAAGGTACAGACAGAGAGAGGACAACAGCCACCAGGTGAGACACTGACTGTGTGGTGGGGGTGGATTAAGAACGCAGCAGAAGCATGATAATGAGGCGAGAGGTGGCCAGGAGCACGCAGGCCTCCCAGAGATCCCTGGCAGGGGAGATGTGCTGGCTTTTCCACAACATGTGGGAAGGGTGCTTGAGCCCTTCTATCTTCCTATTGAAGGAAGGTGTGGCTCCAAACTGATGCAGTAGGTCTGGGTGGGTGCTGCGATGGTGCATTTCCAACAAGCTCCCAGGTGACACTGACACAGCTGGTCCAGGGACCACACTTTAAGTAGCAAGGCTTTAGCTCCCACAAAGCCTCTGCACCCATCAGGGGGATCTCTTACCTCATATTCTTCCTTGAACCCATAGCCCTGGCCTCTCTTCATCTGGGTGATGTGCTGCAGCAGGTCAGCCACCCGGATGGCGGGCTGGAACTGGTCCCGGGGATAGCTCATCTCCACGGGGTCGCAGGCCCGGTAGGGGTGGGTCTGGATCGTCAGCGTGGGCTGGGACAGCTCCCCGCGGCTGCCATCTGCTTCAAAGAGAAGGAAGCAGAACAGACCATCAGCCACAGAGTTTGGCCCTCTGTCCTCCGTGCCTCCCCAGCCTGAGGGGGGCAGTGGGAAGTAAGTCGGGACTCAACTGATTGGGGAGATGCAAGAAAGAACAGAGAAGCACTGCTTCCCGGGCACGGCTCTGGTGGCAGATGTGAAAAATAAAGTGACGAACAAGCCAGTGAACATAAACCTTGGTATGTTTCTATTTCAAGGGCGTGTATTGAGGGAGCAGAGACACAGTGCCAGGCTGCCTGTTATCCCCGGCCTATCTCCGTCCTCCCTCCAGGCTTGTCAGGCAGTGTTGGCCAATCTGGCCGACCCCAGAACCAGAGAGAACCCAGACAGGCTGGAGACTGGGGGCATCCCCTGTTCAGGAAGTAGGCTACCTGGGAAGCATCTCGGGTGCCTGCATAGCCCTGGGTCTCTTCAGGTCAGAGCCACACATCTGCTCCTGCCCCAGTTAGCTGTATCCCTGCGACCCGGTTTCCCCTACGGTTTGTTTCCTTTGGGCTCTCTGTGCTCCGGGAGAAATTGAAGCCAGTCTTGGGCCCCCAGCAGACAGTAGGGCCCTGATCCTCTCAGCGGCTCTCTCCAGCTCTGGCTCCACACAGTGATCACCTTCGGCCTGCTGTCTGACGCTGTGGATCCAGCAGTGTCCCTGGACCTGCCTCACAGGTAGGGAAGCCCAAACCTCTTCCTTCCGTCCTGCCAGCTTCTTCTTCCAGGCCTGAGTCCTATGCTTCATCTCCATCATAAAGTCTCTTCTTGATATGAGAGCCATACTCCGTATCTGATAATAATATTTGTACCCACTGAATTGCTTAACTGCCTTCTCTGAGTCTGGCCACCTTATTAGCTTGGTTCTGGGAGTGGCAAGGATGGGCCAAGACATCGTAACCAGCCTGGAAGAAGGGCGGAGACAGGCAGGGATGCCAGCCAACCTGATGCCTGCTGAGGTTGACTGGAATTCCTCTGCTCCCCCTGGACCAGTAAAACCACTGTCTTGCCATACCAACTCCCCACCAAGCATACACTGTCGGTCTTTTAGGGCCAGTTCATCTTATCCAGAGCCATAAAGGCCTGGTCTCTCCAGCTTCCTCCCTAAGACCTGGGCAATCTATGCCCCAGGCCACCTTGATGGTGGTATGCATGAGATGGCAGCCACACCATCTGAGGTGTCTCACCCAGCTGTCTTCAGGCATTGCAAGGCACCAGTGCAGACCTGCCAGGCCTGTGCCACACTCACTTCCCATAAGGCTTTAGCAACCCATCTTTTCAAAGTCCATGTTTCCTTCATCCTGTTTGTCTCTCGTGTCACCACCCCCACTCAGGCACTGATTCTGTGTGTGGACGTGAGCTCTCCTCCTGTGTGACAGCATGAGCACAGCTGTTCTCAGTCAGGAAAGGATTGCCAACTGAAAGTGTGTAGGTTTCTGCACGAGGAAGAAGGGCTTAGGTGAGATGTTAGCACAACTTCTTGACTGCACATAAGAACATCACTGCTTGCTTTTTCTCCTGGGTTTGAGGTGACAGGTAGCACATCCCCACTGGCATTGCTTCAGTGTGGAGCTTGGCAAATATGGGCCTGCTTTCCTTCTGCATCACACCTTTGTGATGAGGAGTCAGGTTCACGGAGCACCCACTCTGTGCTGAGGACTCTGGTAGGCACTGGCGGTGCTCAGCGTATGGATTTCACCCTGAGGCTTGATGGTCTGGTGGGGATCAGACAAGAAGAACCATCTGAAGTACGAAAACAGAGGCGAGAAGCCACATGCATTTAGGTAAGAGCAAGGAACTTGGGATGGAGTGAAGGCTGTGGGTGCCAGTGTGATGGAGGCAAAACCATACCAGATGGCATGAGGTAGGCAGAAGAAGGCTGTGAATGTGTAAGAATCTTCAAGCGAATGGGAAGCTGTTTAAGAAGAATCCCTCTCTTTAAAGACTCACGTTCTTTCTCATAGTTGTCCCAGGTGCCATGGATATGAGACATCCTTCCAGTGACCACTGCCCTGTGATGGTGTGGTGGGGTTGCAGATGGAGAAGAAAGGGGTGCCTGCATTTGCTTCTCTGGATGGTGCCCTTCACGAATCCCAGGAAGGGAAGAGCTGGAGTTGGTGTCCAGAGCTCTGTGTTTCCCACCTGTGCCATCAACACATACAGGGACAGAGACCCCGTCATCTGCAGAGACCCATGGTCTCCCAAAGGACCTGGGGCATGGGCTGCCTGGGAGGCCTGCTGTCTGGCATAGACGGGCTTCTTAAGAATGGGCACCTGGCAATTTCTGGGAGATGCCAAATGTTTCCCAAACCAGATAGCTAAGGACATGGCTATTTTCCTTAAACACATTGCTAGACAGACTGTAAACTTGGTGTCAACAAAACCAACACTTACAATGGAAAATAAATGCATTTGAAATTTGACAACTTGTATTTCTGTAACATCTATAATAATGTCAATGCCAGTGCTAATGATGCTATGAAGACTTGGAACCAAGGGATTTTCAAGGTTTATTAATTCAGCTAGTCGGACTCCCTTTCCCAATGTATCTTACCTCACCTATTCCCTTATTAACCTCTGATAATGCAGCAGCAACGGCTTTTATCACACCCCATTTCACCAGACGCACTATACTTAATTTTCCATCATTAGGTTTAATGAAAACCCAATTTCACAACTCACTTCTCTCAGGAACCTACAAGTAATGCTACGTTTTTATCAGCCCCAATTAAAAAGTGTTATGATGTTCCTATTCGAGAGGGAGCTTTAAAACTAATGTGCGATTCTGCTGCTAATTCAACAAGGGCGCCGGAATTCACATGTGGCTCATAAAATGTAACTCAAACCAGCTGGCCCAGGGAGAGAACAGTTTCCATTTTTCTCCTCACCAGACCCTTCATTGTCATGCCATTTCAACTTCTCATTTTATGGGTCTTGCATGTTTACTTATCACATAATAATATTTCAGATTTCTTTTGCAGTTTTTCTATAGCCCTTGCCTAAGCTTGTGAATCCCCTGTAACAACTCTCATTGCTGCCTGTGACAGGCTCATGGGGTGGGCAGCAGGGTGCGGACGATGTGGATGAGATCCCAGGTCACCGCTCTCCTCTGGTTTCCTCTAATCTGTCTGTCTACCACTTCCTTTTCCTTCCTTCTTTGGGAACCTGACTTTGACCTCCTTTCTCTTTTTTATTCCCCGGCTACTAGCCATTACAGAGCTCTCTCTAGTTTCAGCCACATATTCCCAATTATTTTTCTAGGAATCACCACTCCGACTGGTTAACAAATATTTACTGAGTACCTCTCTTGAACAAAGCACGGGGTTAGATACCATGTACATACGGGGGGGAGGCAGTGCAGGAAAGCGTGTTCAGAGGGAGATAAGCATGCCACAGCCCTTGCAGGAGAGCAGACAAGATAAGGTGTGTATTAACCAGTGCAACGAAGGTGGAAAGGGATAGACACTTAGGAGACAGGAGGAGGAGGTGCTGCCGAGTCAGGCACCATGGAAACATTTCCCAAGCTTGGAACCAAGGGCATACACAGCCCACCTCTGTGAGTCTTGCCATAACTATATATGACCTATATCAGCTCTGTCCAATAGAATTTTTCATGTTGATGGAAATGGCTTCTATCCAAGCTGTGCAATATCGTCGTCACAAACAACATGTGGCTCCTGAGCATGTGAAGTGTGGCTAATGTAACTGAGGAACTGAAGTTTAAATTTTGTTTGATTTTAACTGATTTGAATTTATATATCCACATGTGGCTTATGGCTACTGTACTGGGCAGCACAAATCTACAGACAGAAAGAAGGAAAGAGAGCAGTCCAAAGTTATAGGAGGGCAAAGAGGTCCAGGGGATATATAATGCAAGCCACATATGTAATGTAAAATTTTCTAGCAATTTTAAATAAGGTAAAAAGGAACAGATGAGATTAATCTCACATAATACTTTTTACTTAACCCAGTGCATCAAAATAATATTTTAACATAATCAGTATGAAATTGTTAATGATATATTTAACCATCTTCATTCATACTAAGGCTTGGAAATCCAATGTGTATTTCACACTTACAGAGTATTTCAATTCAGACTAGCCATATTTCCAGGGTTCAACACCACTTATGTGATTAGTGGCTATTATGTTCAACAGTGGATGTGTACAGGGACTTATCCAGAGTCAGATCAAGTTCTAAAGAGGGCTAGTTGAGAGCTTGAGTGAACCCTGAGAAGACACTGCTTGTGTACGAGATGGATAGATATTTAGCTATGACAGAAGTCTTTGATATTTTCACTGTTCAACATGGTAGCCACTAGCCACCTGTAGCTATTGAGCACTTGAAATGTGGCTAGTGTGATGAAGAAACTGAATTTTTACAATAACTTGATGTCAATTAATTGAAATTTAAATAGCCACATGTGGCAGGTGGCTACTTTATTGAATGGTGCATTCTATACAATTGTCTTCAAAATGTTCTTTAAATCAACTTTCAACCATTTTTTAACTTATCTTATTATGAATGATAGTGAAACAAAATCATGGTTGTGATATGCTAGTTTTGTTTTACTGCTCACTAAAATGTTTACATAACTATTGAAGAAACAGCCTGCCCACATCCCATAAGAGAAGCGAAATTCACACCCTGAGAAATGCTATGTGTCTGGGTCCCCAAATCGGACAGAATGAGGTTTGTATCCTTAATCAACCGGCTATGGGCCATGGGACCTTGGCTAAGTGACAACAATTTCTGAGCCTCAGTTTCTTCATCTATAATAAAGGAAAAATAAGTGGTGTGAGGATTCAAAGTGACAATGTATGCTAAGTGCCCTTATAATGCCTGGTCTCTCGTAAGATGTGAACAAACAGTAGCTGTTCTGATGGGCACGTGAGAATCCACAGACGGACGAGGGCATCTGGGGAGTCTTCACAAGACTTGTCTTTTCGTTCCTCTGTGACACACCCATAGCCATTTATTT